CGGTCAACAATCGCCATGTCTGGGTGACCATTACATTTACGTTCTGTTTCAGACTTGTCATCACGCTTCCACGGTATTACCATTACGGCGCCAAAAATATGAGACAAAAAACATGGTTTCAAATTAAACTTGTATAAATAGAGAAAATGTGCAATATACAAAATGAAAAACTAGTGATGGTGCTCCGTCGAATTATTGGTAGCTGTTACGTAACAAAATAATAATAGATGAACTCGTAAACGTATTTTTAACACGCCGTGCGCGGTTTCCGTGCGCGAAACAGCTATTTTTTGACAGTGTGCAAAACATCACGAGGAGTGCACGAAACATGTGTAACGATTCGCAGTTGCCTTCCGTTTTAAGGACATCTTTGTTACAAACAAGATCACGACACTGACTGGAATCCATTTACTTTCGCACAAGTAAAGTATTTCTAGTTATTTGATATTTAATTTATATTCCTTTACATGACGCATTGCATTTCGCTCACGGCGTATTAAAACAGTGTAAGAAACGCGGGCGCAAAGTGATTGCCGCACTCGTCTCTTTGTCGCCCTCGCTACTCTTGGACGACAAACTCGACTCGTGCGTGAATCACCTGTTTCGCGCTCTTGTTACGTAAACTATTTCAACCCGCAAATAATATTTGGAAATAGAACTTGAACGCGAACCTAAGTACTTAAGTTTTGCAGGCGGCATCTTAAACCAATGACCTAACATCTATGAAGACTTAATTAAGGTATTTTTATAAATGGTTCTCTTTTGCATTTCAAAAACAAACTTATAAAAATCGTACTTCCGCCATTTTTATAAGCGTGCTTTGTCATATTGGGACAAGAAATTTAAAGAAAAAACGTGGAGACATTTTTGACTATGTTATAGTGGACCCTAGCAGGAAATTCTACTATTCACTTTCATTTAAAAACGTTATTCATCGCAAATCATTGTAATCGCTGATTTTGTTTGTAAAGGTCTACACGTTTCAAATATTTGCGGAACATTGCGGTCTGACATCATTCACATTTGCATTTAAAAACACTGAATTTTCGAACTTCAACTCGCTATCTTCTTTTAGTTGTGTAGAAACGTCAATTTGTTTCTAAACGAAAATCCCTATTGTTTTAAATATATTTAATAGGTGATAATTGTAATAAAAATTGTACAAAATTGTCGCCGAAAATGAAGTGCAACGTGATCACTAGGACTAGAATTTTGGTGACCTGAAAACTAAATAAAAATGCCCTAGAAAGATTGCATTTATTCCCTAAAACATATCTACTTCGTGACGTTTACATTGCAAAACACTTCATTCTTCGGTGTCGTGATAAAATATTTGGAATAAATTGAATACTGTAGAGTTCCACTTCCCCCTAAGTTTCCGTGCTGACTTAGCTCGCGAGACATAATCACTGAATAGAACTGTCTACACCAAAGACAAATTCCGAAGATAAGAGTTTAGGGAGTTCTCCATCTCCTGTCCTCACACCGATGAAAGCCATTGACCACCGCGTGGTCAGGATCTAGTTATTTTTACACGATAATGGTTAGGGTGTCGATAGCAGCATTTGTCTGTTTAGAGTTGAGCACGTAAGCACTAAAAAATGAAATAAAACTGTTGAAAAAAAGTAAAAAAAATACCAAACAATGACCTCACAAATGCTTTTTCAACCAAAAAATGCTCCAGCAGATACATGTCAAACGTCTCAAAACACTGTGACATATGTTAGTACCAAAGAAATGTTTTTCAAGAACGAGAAAAAAGATACAAAATCATCAAAATCCTAGCTCTAATGATCAAACTGCACGAAAATTAAATTAGATAATACATATATGTCCGCCAATCACGCAATGTATGCCTCATGACGTCAATGGACAAGAGGTGGTTGCATCTGTTATCCACGGCTCTTCTATAAGCAGCCTTATCAGATCGCCTCTTGGTCAACCAGTGTTAATCGATCTGCTAGCACTGGCTATATTACCAAGGCGACAGAGACAAGATAGATTTTATCGAGCCACTCATTTGAATGGATATTCATGCGTACGCAACATGAACATAGTTAACATATATATTGGTGAATAGAGCGTATATTGAGTATCTTCGCGTCTCAGACCCCTAGTTAACTGCGAATATGTGGCAACTATATTTCCTTTAAAGCAAGACTTCACATTCTTCTTCTGGTGCCATATTGCTTACCAGCTAACAAGATGATGTTGGCTATCAAGTACAAAGAACTTCTTAGATCTCCTATGTGAAGTAAAATGATACGAATAGTACGGATGTAAATAATGATAAGTGACACTTTGGGCAAAATCAAGATTATTGGCTTCCTTAAGTATATATTTTTACATTCCAAGTGGATGTAAGATCCAAGAAATGGCAACTGCTAGGATACGTGCAACGCATATAGTAATATTACGAACATTGTACTTTCCTAACGTGAAGCCGTAGTTGCCAGTATTTGTGCCCAAATGCCTGAATTAAATAATTACAAGAAATTCTTGGGGTATCGAGTTCCATGCCACTGTTTTAAAGTAAATATCTCTTTGACTCGAGATTCGAGCTCATGACCTTCGCCCATGCGCCTCCTCCCCGTTTACGCCTTCGGCATTTCATCATTAATCTCATAAAAACCTGTTGGGTTTATAATATTGATATCGTAATTGATGTCTTTTAAATTTATTTCGCAAAACTTTCAAGAATGTATTAAAATGCCATCACAAAGACAATAATTATAATTTATCTTTTATCTTTGTTTTATGTCTTTTTGTTTCAATTCGTTTTAATAAATGTTACGTAAAGATTGCTTGAAGAATGCTCAATGCTCAAGTATATGAGTAGAACAAATTGTATGTCCTAAAAATAAAAATAAATGTATTATGGAAAGAAAAACGGAAAAAAGTAGAAGGTGGGTCAAAGCGTAACGGGTGAAGAAGCTTATCGCCTTTAGTAGTGAGTACCTGGCCTGTCCCATTCGTCATCGTATCAGGTCACATCGTAAAACATCGAATAAACGTATTTATCTTTTCATATTTTTTATCAATTTTAAATATATCTCACTGTACGCCTCTGAATTGAGTTTTTAATAAAAATAACACAAAGTATTTTGGCAAGTACTTTAAAATTTAATAATTTTAGGTAGCTACAAATATCGCGTACGTCTGACGATGAAGTTTCTAAGAGGAGGAGGCATTGTTGCAGCAGCAACAGAGGACATCTAGAATATCTCAATAACTTTAAGCATTAATTAATCTACCAATTTAATACTTTTATTGGTTTTGGAGTCCTCTGCGTATTTTTGAAATCACAAAGACGTGACCTTCAATAAGACAATAAATTGCGATGAACAGCTGTCGAACGTAAAAGAAACTTTTGCTATTTAAAATAAAACCTAGGATCCTTAGGAGCGAAATAATAAACGCGACACGTGTCACAGATTCATTTTCTCAGGCGCTTGTACTGAAATGGTGTGCTGACGTCATGTCTACTAAAGTGGACTCGCGTTCGTTTTACGTCACGGCGTTTAGGATGCCACATATAGGCTGGCGTACTCCCTAATACAGAGTTCCGTAATACCCTGATGGAGCTATATTTACAAGAATTCATGGCCATTATTACTACCCGAAAGCAAAGAAGAAAGGAAGACGAAAAGACATAAACAGTTTGTTGTGAAGATTTGCATGCAAGTTTCACTTTATGAAAAACAGTTTAGCCATTCCAGAGATTAATCCGAACAAACACATCTACAGACAAAAATTGTAAAAACAGTTAAATAGATTTTTAAAACATGCAAATAACCATAAGAACTAAAAAATGACATATTTTGAAATCGCAGGCAGATACTTCAGTTTTATTTTCATATTATTGTTAAAATATTATATTTCTGATACTGTGCCAGGGTAAACATTCTAATAGAGTATTGCGAGTTTATTAACAACGAAAAGGATTTGTACATGTTCCATTAAATTGCCCAGAATACCAAATATTCAATTAAATTTTACAAAGGAATCCAGATTTTTCTCATTTCTGACAGCCAGTAGGAGTACCCAGGAAAATTTCCAAACATGTTCTAGAAGATCTAATAATGTCTCAAATTGTAGAGTACGGTCTAGGAAACACATCTCTGGCCTCCTGGGACCAGAAACGCTGCTTTTAAGAGCCTACGACTCATTATTTCTGTATGCCTGATGATAAGGTGTCGCGTTTCCAAAATACTAATTAATCGTTTTGCATAGAAGAGCACATTTTAATTTCCCCACAACTTCATATACTTTGCTATAATCGACATTCAAGTTGTTTCAAAATATTTGTCCCTTTTAATTTACGGCAATGGATTTTAGTAAACTCATAAGTTTCGGGCAATATTATTTCATACAAGTCAATCAAGTCCGTCAGTCAAGTCATCAACACCGATCTCCATCCATGAAACAGGCGATGCGATTGCTACCGAGTGACCATTGGTATGCCAGAGATAAATACTTATTCCACATTAAACATTATTTTTGGTCTTATTTACCTTGAAATCTCAATTTTCAATTATTTTGAGTTACAACAGTATTCCAGAAAAACGACTGTATTGTAAAGTGTTATGTGTTACAGGTTGCACGTGCGCCTCCTGATTTCTCTTTAGCATAATCTACGAAATATCTCTTTGATCCGCCCCTGGGGTATAATTTCCTAAGCAGCAGTAGCACACATTTGGGTTGATGGCATATTAGCACAAATAAGCCAACTTTCTTTAGGTGTTCACCTGCTGAAGTGGCTCAGTGTAACAACTGATGTCAAACGGCGACTCTGAGCGGGATCTCCGACGGAGGCAGGTTTTTCGACACAAGGTGGACAGCTCGGATGTTCTAAGTATTACCTGGAGAATTATTTTAGTGGCCGACTGCTCTGATCGGCTTCTGATATGTTGGATGGAAACGTTTTAGGAATCGAAGTCTATTTGTATTATAAAGTAATTTCTTTCCAAGTTTCATTCTTTCCTGAAATAGTTGTGTTCCATTTTTCAGATGGAGGGGCTGGTACGGGAGATGCAGGATCCTGAAACAGGTGTTCCAGTTCGAAGTCAGAAAATTTTCCTCACTTCCATTCCTTCTGCCTTCATGGGTAAGATTAGATAATACAATGTTTTCATTAGTCTTTGAAATCTACTTTAGTAATCTATTAAGTGTCTTGTTTTCTTTTCTTTCTCTTCCTGTAGGTTTTGATCTTATAGAATGGCTTATGGATCGCCTCAACATTGAAGAATCTGGTGAGATTCTTTCCTTTTCTTCCTATTGCCTGTTTATAGTTTTTAATTTAAAGCATATGCACAGGGGGAAGGATTAGTACAGAACATTCCACGATTGAATCTCAAATTAATATTTTTTATGAACTTCTATTTTTGATTTTGACCTTTTATAAAGATCTTCCAAATATAACGTAAATGGAAAACAGTGTTTAGTATTAATTACTTGTGTATTTATATTTAGTTACACAATTCTAGAAGAGCTACATTAAGTAATATCTAATAGTAAAAATTCACATTCGCCATTTCTCTTTTTAATTTACGTTGTGATGAAAAATTATTATAAAAGAATCCAACCAACCTGCATTTTTTTTCTGTTAAGTTGGGCGAAATACATTTATATGTCTCTGGTGATCTAATGTCTTATTGACATATCTACTCTCTACTAGTTTTCTCATAAATCTAAAACATCAACGAAATATATCTAACTCATGAGAAAAATATTAACAATCACAGTGGTGGCAATGGAAATGAGGTTTCCCATCAGAACTGCAGCTAGTAAGTACTTGTATTTACATACTTTGTAAGTAATAATGTACCACACCTTACCCTACTGCACTTCAATAATCTTTGCGAGTTAGTGTGGTAATATAATTGTTAGTTATAATGTGGACATTATGAATAAATTATTTCAATACATCTCCGAGTCAAAGTAGGACAAGGCCACTTTCTCTAATTTGATTTTTATTAGTTTATTTGCAAATATGCTCCTTCCTATTGACAAATTGACCAATTCGCTCACACTCAGTTTTCCTAACATCACTTATTATAGACGAATAATATAAAATGAATTGACAATTAATTGATAAAGAATTACATATTCCTTTTATGTTGGAATACGAGATTGGAACTTAAATTTAAAATGGTATCATTGCGATGCTTTTCAAAATGCGTTTCTTAAATAACGTATAGAAGACTGGCTTCATACAGCTCATGAATAAAAACTAGCATTCAATACAATGGATGATGAGAGTAAGATTCATTTTGTTCCCATTCGCTTCTTTTCAGCTCTTTCAGGAATTAAGCTGCTTCTATCTGCGTATAATAATGGGCAACAATCCTTTCCAAATAATTATACAACATTGCCACTACTTCAACGTACAGAGGAAGTAATACATTCATATTTCGCCTGTTTGGTGAAAATCAAAATTAGTTATCAGAGCACTGGACTTCCAAGATAATTGCTAGGATCCAGAATTTTTCATAATTGTAACATTATATTTAATAAAATATTAAGATTTCTAAATTTTACAGAACATAACATTTTACAGAATTTTACAGAACAAGAGATCTAGGGAAATGACGTGCCTAATGCTCATCGCACCGGGATTTCAACACTTGAGTAGTTGGTTGCAAGATGCTTAATCAGTTATTATAATTTTCTTCTTTCAACTTTGTCAATTGCATTCTCAATTAGTCTCATTAACCAATTATAATTTTACAAACGAGCTCGTTTTACTTTCTTCCCTTTCATTTTAAGTATTTACAACAAATATTTTTCTCGCGTTTTTTCATGAAGAATATACTTATAACAAAAATAAATTCCGATTTATTATACTTATTTTAACAACTTATTTATTGGCAATATGCATATCAACAGTCCTTTTACGAGACATTCTCTGTTCTTCTTAACTTCTCAAATATAAAAACGGAAAAAGAAACAACTTGATTCACACAAGTACAGAGTGTTATCATTGTCATGGCACATTCAACCAACATTAAAATGTTTTGTGTCTTTGTAATACAATTTAAGATAAATTTTGTCTTACGTTTTCAATTAGGGAATGAAACAGTGAAGGGGACACATAGAAGAATTGATAATAATTTTCAGTGACATAGAGTTAATTTTTATTTTCTCGACACCTACACTAATTTTGATCATTTATTCATCCAACTTCAAAACAATTCTGCTTTTTTGTCTCAATCAGTACACATTTCTGTAATTGTTTTGAATTCCATTCCAGTTGAGGCGGTCCACTTAGCCAATCAGCTCTGTCAATATGGCTACTTCTTCCCTGTCAGTGACTCCAAAAACCTCATTGTAAAAGATGACAGCTCTCTCTATCGCTTTCAGGTAAAGTACATTAGTGTAAAAATGAAATCGGTGTTAATTCTTTCAAGATCATTACATTATTAAGTGATCTTATCGCGTATTTTACAGACACCTTATTACTGGCCATGGCAACATCGTATGCCTGATAATGTGGAATATGCCATCTACCTCTGTAAAAGAACTTTACGTAACAAGCAACGCCATGGTTTAGAGGAGTATGAGTTGGTAAGTAAATGAAGTCATGAACTTGCGAAGTAAATCCAATGTAATATTAACTGGGTGTTAGCAACCTGTTGCATTTCGTGACTTAGCTTTTTGCAACCGCATCTTCTTGTTCGCAATTTTGAAGCATATAAATGACGCTGTTCTTGTTTTGTAGGAAGCACTGACCAGCTTGAAGAAGAACCTTGCCAACAAGTGGGACTTCATAACTATGCAAGCGGAAGAACAGGTGCACAACAAATTCGCAGAAATTCATCTTGGATATTTACCTGGAAATATTCAAGAAATTTCAACACATTTCTCGATTGTTCATTATTTACGCAAATGGTATACACAATTAATTTACTTCGTTACATTTTCAGGTACGGCTCGCCAAAGAACGCAAAAAGGGAGATAAAATTGTGAGCGACAGTCAGGACCGAGCCTACTGGCGTGTATATCGGCCTCCTCCAGGATATCTCAACTGTCTGGAGCCTGCGCCAGTCCCGAGCTGGAACAGGGGCGGCGGCAGCCGAGCGAAGAAGCGCTCAATACAAGACCTGAACCGCGAGGTAGGGAATTAGAAAAATCTTCTTCTCCTTCATCGTCGCTTCAAGGACTAGCCATCTGCCTCACAGTTCCAGCCTCACAAAACTTCTCTCCGTCTCTCTCTTGTCCTTCTTTCGTATCTCTTGGCTTATATTGGAAGGGTAACTTCGGTAAATGGGAGTAACCCATTATTTGAACATGCTGTAGCCAACTCTTTCTGTACTCCACCAATCTTTCAAATTATAAAATTTCTATATCCACGGGTGGACTCGATTGAGGTTTCCGGACACGTCAACTGCTATGGTCATTAGGTCCATTAGTGTGGTGAATGTTTTATTCCGGGGAATGACAATGCTTCCGCGCGACCTACTCGTCGGCTTATCCCCCTAAAATTGCCAAGTGGATATCCCCTTCCAGGTACCTCCTGCTAGCAGGACACCGCCTCAGCCGTGAATCGTAGATCCCCAATGGACTTCAGATATGTGTGGTAGTGTAGTATGTGAGAGCATATAGGTGTGTGTATGTATGCGAGTTTGTGTGTTTAGAAGGGAAGAGGAGGTAACGAGAAAAGATCGCGCGGCGCCCGTTTGTTTGGGTACTACTCCGGCATTCGCCTGGTATTGAACGAAGAATCCACGGAAAACTATGGATCAGAGCAGCAAATTTTTTAAGCTTTTGCAATTTCTAAAATTCCAAGCGGTTTCATGTAAATTAGGGGTCTTTTTAACAATCTTCTCTATTCGAGAAAATAATAAAAAAATTTTGAACAGTTTTTTAAGAAAAACTTACTTATAAAGGACGAGTCATTTCACATGGTAACCTAGAGGTACTACAACAGCACATACTTGTGCGCACAGCACATATATGATTGGAAATAGTTACGTAATATTAAAATATTGTAATTTTTGCCATACTAAAAACTCAGAAACTCAAAATTCAAACGAATCGCTCCTCGTGATTATTTGCGTTTCTTTCCGTTGTCAAAAAGAGTTGCCATTTCTTACTTTTAGAATTGAAACGAACATGTATAAACTTTAATGCTACAGTATTTCCAGAGCATAATACAGAGAAGTAAGAATTATTCCACAAAGACCTACCTTGATTACATTAGAAATGATCTTTTAATTTTTAATACCATAATCAACGATTAAATTACAGAAGTGTGTTTGTTAGTTCTAAGTTAAAATGTATTACCTTCCTTCAATATATTTCCTTTCATTAAAGTTTTATCTGCATCACACATTTATGATGACCGACATCTTTGGGATGAATTCGAAAAATTTTGAAACCTCTGTGTTGCAATTTTCGAAATTGGCAGCGCCCGAAATGAGGCGCACGAAATTCGAATTTCCAATTCCGATCTTGTTTTACAACTTTCGAAAATGCAGAGTGCGCCGAAAAGAGGAATATCACTACTATTTTTAGTTCATTGCTACATACGAGGATAAAAATGAAAGACAAAATTTGGAGTCGTTTCTGAGAAAATTGCTTAAAATGGTTTTGAAAGCATATACTTTTCATCTAAAATTACGCAAAAAATACTCATATTCTCGAAATATTGAACACGATCTCTTTTAAAGAACTTTTTTGGTAAGAAAATTTAATCAAGAAAAAATAATATTCGAAATTGTAGTTGTAAGAAGATGCCGAAAAAAGTTTGAATTTTGCAATCATTATTATGCAAAATATGATTATGCAAAAAAAATGCAGCGGGTAAGCGGGTCAGGACTTCAGCCGGGGCAGCGAAATCGGCCTAGTAACACGCATCACATAATAACTATATGATGTGCGGCCACGTGATACACCGCAACCTAGAAGGAAGTTTCGGTTATGAACAGCAACAAAGGGAGGATCTCATTATTCACTGGTATTTAAGGGTTGTCACAGAAAACTTCAGAGGGAGACCAAGTGCAAATGCACACACTGGGAGAGATGGCTCAGGGCGTCAACTGTCAACTGATGTGACTGCAGTCCCACTGACCGGCCCCGCTGACCGGGAGGTCCTAGGTTCGAGTCCCGACGGTGGCAGAATTTTCGACACTGGCTTGTCAGCTAGGTCGAATTCAGTCGCTAGAGGAGAATTCTAGCAGCCGGCTGCTCTGATCGGTAGTTTTCCGTGGTTTCTCCGGTCATCACCAGGCGAATGCCGGAGCAAGTACCCTACCAAACGGGCCACGGACCGCGCGCGATCATTCCTACCTCTTCCTTCTCCTATCCTCTTCCCTTACAAACAAACATTAACACGTGCTACATTAACACACATGCCGGGAGACCGGTCGGGAGCTTCGAGGTTGTCTCGACTGGGGCGATGCCCCGCTGGTGGAGATATTTGGCTGGGGAAAAACCCGCTAGCCGACGGTAGGTCGCACCCGGATCTCGCCATACAGCGATGGATAGGCCACCGCCACAGCCCAAGCAAAAACATGCACTATACTTACGGGACTAATGACCCTGTTCGTTGACGTGCCCGAAATCACTAAAACAAGCAATCAATCACACTTTCCGGCAAGCTTTAGAGGGCCGTTCGCTTAAGCGAAAATGGTGACCGACTTGTTGGGAGGCAGGGAGATTAATGGCGACGCAGCATGGAGGAACGGTATGAGTCTTACCTCTGATACGACAGTCGTGGGTATTGAGCGGCTAGGTTAGGTTGCCGGCCTCTGTCCTCATCGTGACCCTTGGCAAAGTGTGGCATTCTAGGTTAAGAAACCCGGTGGCGAGTTGATCTAGTATGAAACAAAGAAACATCTCTGAGTTCTTCAAGAGCGGAGTTCTTCCTCCCGGATTGTAAGACTATTAAAAATATTAGACTATTGTTCATTATTACATTGAATTGTTGACAGCCATGCATTAACACGCTCACAGATGGAATAACGGTAAATTCCCTTCTAAATTCAAGTGAGTTTATTAATAAAGTGTCGTTTTTAAAGTAACAATATATTTTTAAAACATACAAAAATCTAATGTTCTTAAAATTGTCAAATTTATTTCACCTACGAGAAACATGAAGATAGGGAAAAATGCCCAAAACGTTGTTGTGTTTTTTATTAATTTCATAACTTTAACATTAGCTTTTTGCGAGTTTTAAAACCAAATTTCTACTTTTTAAATCGACATTTTATAAATACTCTAATTTTAAATTATTTTACCGTTATTTTTCTAAGAGCGGACTAGTTAGACAAAGACAAATTTATTAATGAAATGTGCTTCTCTTCAAGTCTGTGTGGGCAATTACTAACACGAGGAAAAGATGCTGAAAGTTCACCCTTAAAACGATTTTGAATCAATTTTGCACCACGTAAAAATTACACAATTTAAAATCCAACCACAGTCAATTTTATAATAGCATAATAATTCATTAATCTTTTTTTCCCCTCAAACATCAATATAAATATTTTATTTAGTTGTTACATTCATAAGAAGAAAACATGTGAGAAAGACTTTCCTACCTTCCCTCTTCTATGAAACCACTATTGAAACTCATTCATGAATAAAGTTCATTCATCCTTCTTGAATTATTGAGGGACCTGGCACAAATACCTGCTTTATTCATTCAAAAGTGAAATCACGAGAATTTTGACGATGTATAAATTTATCTTCCAGGTTGATTTTCTGAGAAGCTGCCTGGTACGAACTCGTGTGAAGGTGTCTCAAGCTGTGGATAATCTAATTCAATACTCTGTGACCTTCAATGAGTATGATCCCTTTTTTCTTGGAGCCCTGCCTTCTAATCCTTGGGTCACTGATGATAGCGCCTTTTGGCAATTCAACAGCCCACTGTAAGTTATTTCTTTTATTTCTTCTCCCTACTCTGACAAGTATAAAATTAAATCATATTTTGTTAATAATATATTTTACAAAAAGTTGATTCCATTTATCTAATATGTTACAGAGTTGAATGTCCAACAGAGAAGAGAGTGAGGCGATGGGGTCTTTCCATGGAAGAACTTGTTTCTGATCCCACAGGTACATATTTCCAGTTATTTTTTAAAACTAATGTTTTTATTATTTAATATAAGTTAGCTGTAGTGAGTAGCTGAACAAATAAGTCTTTTGTTTACTTTTATGCAAGAATGAAGAATGCTGCTTAAGAGTTATGATCATTATGCAAAATGTAATAACTGTTTTACAACTTATTGATATAATAAATATTGCTACCTGATGAAGGCTCCCTCAATCCTGAAGAATTTCCTGTGACGTAAAGTGAGTTACTTCTCTGAAGTAAAGGTTCAGGGAAGAGTATCGAATGTAGAAGAAAATATTACCCCCCTAATTTCAGATCATGAATCATCATTGTTAACTCTTTTTTTGGTCAGTAATGTGTATTTTTTCGTACCTTGTTCATTCCACAATTTTGTTTTAAGCATAAAAGAGTTTCCATCATAAAAAAAAGTTTTTAAAATACAACTTAAATACAGACTACTAAAATACAACACGCAAGAAAATTTATATTCCTTTAAAAAAGTATTGCTTAAAAGCGTTGTTCCTTCAAGCGTGTAAGCATTAATCATCAAATGAACATTGGATGTTGAGAATTTTACGAAGAATAAATGAAATCATGCAATAAATATTGTAATGTCATCTTCTTATAGGATTGCAAGAATTCACCAACTATTTACGAAAAGAATACAGTCATGAAAACATCAGATTTTGGATAGCTGTCAATGACTTAAGAAGAAGTGCTCAGTCACAAATACATCGGAAAGTTAGTGAAATATTTGAGTGAGTATTCTAACTTTTTGTCTAAATATCTTGAAATGTTAAAATCCAGTCGATATACTTTTAACAAGTGTGAATGCTTCTGAAAATGTCTTCTTTACATGTGTACATTTTGCTAAAACGGTAATTTGATTTTTATTACTCAATACTAAATTAAATTGAAATATTGTGCGTTTTCAGATTACTGAACATAATTTTATTTTGTTTTCATCCTTAGTGAATTCTTAGCCCCAGGAGCTCCATGTGAGATCAATATTGATGGAAAAACAATGGAGCGCGTGCACCAAGAATTACGTTCACCTTCACGTTTTACTTTTGATTCAGCAGCTGAACATGTCTACACTCTGTTGCTCAAGAAAGATTGTTATCCTCGCTTTATACGTTCTGAGCACTATAAAAATCTCCGAGCTGCTGGTATTCAGCCTTCAATAAAGAAAAGGTAACAATTTACTTTGTGTTTTTAAACATTACTGCAACTTGTCTGTTTTGCAAACATCTTTTGCGTATTTATAAATTAGTGAACTTAGAACTGATAATTTTGAAAGTTGTTTAAATATTTCATGTTTTTTAAACATGTTTTGCATAAATGTATGACAGTGATCTTAGATTTTTTTGTCCTTCAATATGTATTTCGAAAAATTGCAAAATATTTATTAAAATCCAAATACATAAATGTACTGTAGTCTCCAGATATTTAAAAACTTTTAAAAATTATTGAGAATTGGCACACGAGCTTGTGAAACATTTAAAATTTCAGACACAAAAGCATCCTCTAACAAGAGGATTTGAGAATGAAATTTTTACAATAAATTTAACAAACAAAATCATTCATAGCATGTTTTGTGTAAATTATTTATACTGATATTAATTAGATGTGTTATTGGTCCTTTTCTTCTTTGCATATCATTCTCAGTTCCTCAGTACTTCATAGAAACAATTAGACCTCTATAATCGACGAACGTTAAATAGATTTATATTCAACTCTACAGTACACATAATGACTCATTTTACAAACAGATTTTTTCCTTGGGGTCCTATTATGAATCTGATTGCTGATTCAGTTCGTGCTCTTATTTTTAAAGCTCTTGAATACTGTGAAACCTTTCTTAAACAGTCACGATGCTCCGGCGAAATTTGACCGTTAAATTGCGACTTCTGCTACGAGATTACGAGAAGCGTACATCAGGAATTAATTATTGTGCAAATTACTATGCGTTAAAGTACGTTTCACATATAATATTTTGAATTATATTAAACTACAACATACATTTTAAACACGGAATGTAAGGTTTCTTTATTCCTCTCGGCTAATGTCAAACAACCTTAACATCACTGTTACTCGAAAACTCATTTCCCGCCCTCATCGAACCGAATGGCATTGAAACTAGACTTGAAGATGCGATTACCATCCTGAACATAGGCGTGCGCACAAGAGGGACCAAGGGGACCCTCATGGAAATTACGAAAGAGGGCCCCATAGCCGTACGAATCAAAACGTTTTATTTCTGTAAAAAATGATCAAGTCCTGATGCTGGAAAATTAATGCACAACAATTGGGAAAGTTGTTCTCTAGTCTGTCAATCTTGTAAATGGTTCATCGTAAAATCAATTGTTTTTATTAATTTATTATTGAAAATGACTTATCCTTATAGTATGATTGATTTATTTTCTAGTAAATATGTAATATATTAAAACGGTCAATGGCAAAGGGAGCCCAGAAACGTAATTGCCCCTCCCTCCTAATGTCGGAAGACGGCTCCTCACATTCGGTAGCGACTTTCTGCTCGCCGAATTCCGAGTGGTCTGGATGGGCTGCGTGCTATTTGCCGAGCGACAGACGTTCGGTGCTCGCCCTACCCACCGCGTGTCGGTCTTTTGCACACATCACAGGAAGTGATCATTTTCCGAGCACATCAGCTGCTGCGGATTGGGCCGCCCCGTAGGTTCTTTAGAGAAGAGTCGTCAGGAGTTCGTGAATGACATTAAGGTTTCGTGCATGTGGCGTGCTCCGAGAGTCGGCCACCACAGAGGGGTAGCAGTGATTAACAATTTGTTCGAGACAAATGTGGAATGTGGGAAGCAAACAACTTATTATTACATAAAGAGAGATTTATAAAAGTCATAATTTTTTTATCTAAAACAAATTAATCTTTGTTTCTTTGACGAATGGAGCGATTCTGTACCTTACCGTCGAAGTATACGTAAACTAATAAAGTGTCCTGACACAGGAAGAATTTGAATCATAGTAATCTCTACTGTTATTTCGATTTTTATTCTATTAGTACAAAATCATTGATGTAACTTCTTAATACAAGTCTAATTACGAAAAGTGCCTGATAGATCGCCGCGAGGTCATTTAAAAAAGGTTACATGAACACGAATTGTATGAGAGAAAATAATATTCTGAGAAAAATGGCCGCCAATTCAGACGACTGCTTATTGAAGGTGGCCGTTTCAGCAGGTTTCACAGTGTGTATTCGTCTTGAGCCAATATTGTACCAAACCACAGAATCCTGTAATTTCCTTGACAACCCATTGAATTTGTACATTGTAAATTAATAATACGGTACTTCAAAATCGTTTTCTTCTCCAACAGATTCTTTGTATTTGGTGGGCAAGCTAGAAAGAAAACATCTACATGCAATGCCCCCAATCCAGCATTTCTCCAACAGCAACAACAGTCGGCAGAGAAAGCGGGGGTCAGCGGTGGAGGGGGTGGAGGGGGTGGAGGAGGAGGAGTGGGCCTGGGCCGGCGCAGGGGGAGCGACCGAAGCCTCTCGGGGTCCGTGCATGAGCTCGCCGTGTCCGGCGTGCGGGAGGTAGCAAGTCGGGTTGCTCACTCGCACTCACAGTCCAATCTTAGTGAGATCCCTTACAGGTACGTTGCATTCTTTATTTCTATCGGAAAACAATGATCATGCTTGTCTGTTATAGTAGTAATGCAAAAATCATTTTGTTTGTAGAACAGTGTGACATGCATTACTGGTGATTTAAAAAGTACGTGAATAAAATAGGTTTTAGGTCGTATTCTATTAGACGCCGTCGTAATAATTTAGACTCTTTATAGTTAGTTGATATGAAGTAAAATTTTGTGTGGAAAATGAAAGATCCCGATAAAATGTGTATCTTACACTTATCTTCGTGTGTAATTTGTTTCTTACAAATAAAGATTTCAGCAATTGGAATAAATCTAATTTAATTAAATAAATATCACTGAATCAAATATCAAATCATATTATGTAACATAATCATTCTATACATTATTTCACTTAACAAAAATTGTATTAGTATGCCTCCCACATATAGGAGTAATATGCATTCTGTCAAGATAATGGAAATGTTGTGCTTCAAACAAAATCTGATTAACCTGATTTTTATCGGATTCTAGTCAATACATAACCTCAGAAAAGTGGAAATTTAGATACTATTTTTTTGCAGTATATGTTCTTTAGACACCTTATAATAGAGCCACCAAAGAGTGATGAATAAATTCATTCTACTAAGGCGCCACCAACACTGGCATTATGTGTGATATATTTCTCTTTTCGTGACACCAATCAAAATTTTAAAATCAACGTATTTAATTCTTAATCACTATATTGCCAGTGCATACGGGAAAACAGACCATTAGAAAGAGCCAAAACTAAGTTAAGAAACTACGGGGCCCGTGGCACTTCTAAAAAAAGCAGGGGGGGGTTCTCCTCATATACATTTATAACATTTATTGATAAATATTTTGTGCGATTATGGTTTCCCTAACATAATTTATTAATTTAATTAACGAAAGGAACATTTTCCAGTGTACAAAATACAATAATTGAATCTGCGAATATGAAGTTGATTAATTTTTAAAAATAAAGAACATAAAAATATTTCCCTCAAAATTGAAATTTTTGTGAAACTTTAATTTTGTGGCTCTGAAATCCTTGACAAGGCAATAATTCTCGAATCGTTCAGTTCATGGTTCATAGACGACCTTTGATTGTTCTTTTTTTATGAAACCTTCTTAACCAAAATGTCCAATTCCCTTATATCTTCTTAGTGTTTCCGTGCGTACACTGAATGTTTTACACCGGAATCCTTCATTTAACAATAAAAATTCATCACAAATCTTATCAAATGATATAGGTGTTGTGGTAAGATATTTTTGGCATTTTTAAAATAATTAAAGATAGTCGTTTTGTGGCTTCCATCTAGCAGACAACTGATGATGATGGCTAAGCCATCGAAAGCTGCTATTGAATTAAAAAACATTGTTGGCAATGACAACATCTTTAATTATTTTATCAAATGATACCTACCAAAATAAACTGTAAACATGTTATCACTTTCATTAATGTTATGGGTACATCAGTCTGTATCTTACTTTTTAAAATTTTAAAGAGTGAAACTTAATTTGTAAATTCTGATAATGTCTACTTACTTTTCACTTTTTTAGTTTTGTTTATTTTTAAGTTAACCCAACAATGAGTCACATCTAAACTATAGGATTACCCACTTTTTCCATTACCTCTTTACAAAATACCTTTGCTTCAACATAGAATGTCCAGACTTATCCGTACCAAATTGAAACCACGGATTGTGATGAACGCTAACAACAATGTCAGCGAGAATTGCAAGATTCTAAGCACTAGATTAAGAGTTTCACATTTGTTTGCGATATTGCTCTTTGTAACGCTTCTGCGCAAACTCGTGTTCATCAAGGAAAGATATACACAGCCCATTACATCGCACTGCATTTGTTAACTTTAGTGTTCGAAAACTAAAATTCTAGAGGCATGCAGCACAAAAATGCTGATAATAAATCTACACAACATGGTTTTCTAGAAAACAGCACGCGCACTTTCTAGTACGGCAAATAAAATTCTCTCGAATAACACTATAAAAAAATTAAGTATTTTAACATAAGCAGTCTTCACGAATACTGTAATAAAATAGAATAGTGCATCTGGAAAATCAATACAGCACTCTTTTGCATGACAGGAAAACAAAAAATGTTGATGTATACAACGCGTGAATAGCATATACGAGGCGTATTTTTAAAGTACGGTTGTAGAAAAATTCATAAAAATTTGTCTTTCAAAATAAAATGTATGTTTACATGAAAGAGCATTTCTAAAACTATTTTTTATATAGATGTCACCATTGTTCAGACTTTTTTACAACAGGAAGCCAACTTTCCTATGCTCTCTTCATTCAAAAAAGTGAAGACATTCCCTTCTGAATTCCGTTTTTGAACGCAAAAAATGTTCAGTTACCCGAAAATCTCCGCCAACTTACAGAGGTTTATTTTAATAATGTAGTGAGTGATGGAATGGTGAGGAAGTGTGTTAGTCAATTCAATGATAGACGATTCAATTTTCATGAGGAAGCACGGAGTGGGCGGTCTGTGAATGATGGATTGGTTAAAAAAGTGAATGCACAAATTCGTGAAAACAGATGGTTCGCAATAAGAATGCTTTGTAACGCGTTTTTCACAATTTACAGCACCATTTTCGCTAGAAAGGGCTGTCTTCATTTTTCTATGAAAAGGAAATGGAAAAGTTGGTTTCTCGCTATGACAAATGTCTGAACAGAGGTGACAACAAGTATGTAAAAATATAGTGTTAGAAATGGTCTTTCGTTGTTGTTGTTGTTGTTGATTTTTTTTTTTTTTTGTAAAACAATTTTATGAGTTTTTTTCAAAATGGTATTTACTTCAAAAACGCGCCTCGTATTTAATGGATGACGGGATCTTCATTCCAGCCTTCTTCTCACAAGATGAATCACAAGCAGTGACGCTCTGGGTATGGGAAGACAGTCAGTAAGAGTAATATGGAAACAGACGGAATAACATAATTTAATTTTAAAAGGCTACGGGCAAATGCCCGTAAAATTGCGCCAATATCGAATATCCTTCATTATTTTTGAATTATTCCCGAGTTCCTGGATATTTAATGAAACCATAGACACCTCTCACATGGTCGGAGGCTGCATAGTTTTCTTTAAATTTCTGCGCGCATTGGAAATTAGTAATATAGATTTGTCTACAGAATATCTATTTAATATCTAATAATAATAATAATAATAATAATAATAATAATAATAATAATAATAATAATAGTAGTAGTAGTAATAATAAATCTATGTAATATAGATTTGCTACACGACAAGAAAATACTAGTCTTTCTTTTATCGAGAATCCTTAGAGCTGTGAGCTAAATTTGCATTTACGAATCCGAGCTTGGCGCCCATATCCTTCGGCTGATGGTTAACGCCAGAGAGTATACATCAACGCAAAAATTACAATGCGCCACAATGCATTCGGCCAGAAAAGTAAACGCTTTGTAACGGAAACGGGACCGAAGGAAGGAAATACTCCCTTGATTGAACAGCCATCCAGAGATGTCTTTCTCAACAAGATGAACACGTGCCGTGGCACTGCGATGAGTGAGTGAAGGTCAAAAGCTGGCGCACGGTGCTGTCTTTTGAAGTGAGCTGCCGGAAGCCCGAACTAAGGGCCCCTTCCCTCGTCGCCACGGCGGTGCGCTTCCGAGCAGCACAGCGCGTTGCATTGGTTTGAGCATTGGTTTGAATGGAGGCCTTCCCACGTGCAGCGGGTGGCGGCTGCTGCGGCAGCCGACGCCGAACTCCAGCTACGCGAAGCGGAGGAGGGGGCACGCGCCACCTCTAGCAGAACACACCTTTAAATGGGAGCCTTCCCACTGCGCCGCCAGTCGCTGCGGTTTACTTGCTGTGGTCTCTTTGTTGGACGTCGCCGGAGGGCCAGCGAAACATACCCCTGCAGAACCCGCCCCCTTCCACGGCGGGCGGCGGTACGGCCGTGGCTGTGGCGGTGGCGGCGTCGGAAGGGCCCTGCTGCTTGAAGGAAGCGCGGCGCCGTGGCGACGTGGGAAGGCGCTCTAAGGGGCACTTCGAACCGAGAGTGTTCCGTGCAGATGCGCAGACACTTCGATGATGAGCGTCGCCGCGACGTCGTGAATGACGCAGCCGACCGCGTTCGTTGAGGACTTGCGTTGGCCAGCGCCCTCTGGGTAATGTCAATATTAGCCGGATGAATTCCAAATTTATCCGTCCATCATCAGCGTAATCCAAACTGTCTGATTAACATGCGATTGGCCTTTGGACTTGCGCCGTATCATATATACCACTTCACAGAAGAAAATTGTACGTTATTGATGTTAATAATAATGTAATAATAATAATAATAATAATAATAATAATAATAATAATAATAATAACCAAAGATTACCTTCATGGAACTCCATGAAACCTACAAATACTTGGGTTTCCAACAGTCACTCCGAATCAAACATACTGTTACTAAGAATATACTAACAA